AAAAAAAATATCAATTAAACAAAATATCTCATGTTGAATTTGAATTGAAGTTTTCGTAGTCTGGAGTCTGATTTTCCTGAAATGTTAGTACACACAAGAGCAAGTGCAAATCTTCTGAAATTGTTAGGAGATAACTATACATTTGAACAATAATGTTTGGAATCATCAAAACTACATAAGTTGCATAAATATAACTCATTCAAATAGCAACTATTCAAACAGTGGGATCCAAGATATGATTGCTACCCTTATTTTCCATCGAATCAACACTTAGAAATATAGGATAGTGTTTCCCATAAATGGCGCCAAACTATTGTGGGGTAGAATATACGCGGCAATAGAGTTAAAATTTTTCATCTTAGCGTTGTATGGATATCCATCACATAAATATAAAAGATATAAAACACAAGGATGTTTACATGAAAAGCCCTAAAAAGGGAAAAACTATGGGGTGACGCCTAGTTGAAAGAATTTCACTAGTGTTTGCTTGAGTTACAAGAGACTGACTCATCCTAAAAATTTAGGATAATCATATTACAATAATCAACTCTCGGGTTGAAATGCGTTGCACACGGACATCAAAATACTGATATCAGAAAACTGATGTCTATTGTTTTTCAGAGAGAGTTCTAATGTTACTTGGAGGTCGGACAGAACTCCAGCATCACTTAAAAGTAAGACAAAACTTTGGCGTCACTTGAAAGTAGGGGGAAACTCTAACTTCACTTGAAAGTCAGGCGAAACTCTGACGTCATTAAAAGTCGTGCGGAACTCCAGCGTCACTTGAAAATTGGACCGAACTTCGACGTCACATGAAAGTTCGACGAATATCTGGCAGTGGTCGAGGAGGAGATTCTTCCCTCCTTCTCTTCTTCTCTTCTCTTCTTCTTCTTGCTTGGGTTCCCTCTTAAGAGAAATGAGGGGCTATTTATAGCTTTCTAAGAGTGGCATGACTCATTAATAGGAGGATTAAGGGAAAATATAGAGTGGTTTGGATGGATAGTCGATATTGAATCCCTTGATCGTGGACCGTTTGTCAGACATTTGAAGGTCTTAATGATATTGGAATTTGGCGATCTTGTGTTTGTTGGATTTGTCTCGTCGAGCTGCTCGATTCGATTATAAGCATGTTATGTTTTGAAACCTTTTGGTAATCCAAATTATGGTTTGAACCTTCCAACAATGCTTTGGATATATATATAGATGTTGCGGGCTAGAATATACACCGCGATAGAGTTAGAATACTATGTCTTAGTGTTGCATTAATATCCATCTCACACACAGAAAACTCAAGATTTTTACGTGGAAAGCCCTGAAAAAAGGGGAAAAATCACGGGGATTGGCCCAATTAAAAATGATTCTACTAGAACTTGAGTTGGTTACAACGAGCTGATTCGACTCCAAGGGCGATCAGATTACAAGTAATAATTGTACCATAGAAGTCCGAGAGTCAAGTGGTAGATCGGCAGAACTTCGGGCTTCAGGTAAGGGTCTGGCAAAACTCCAGGCCTGAGGTGATGATTTGGCGAAGACGAGCGCCTCAGGTGGTGGTCCGGCGAAGGTGAAGGTCTCAGGTGATAGTCCAACGAAGGTGAGGGCCTCAGGTGGTGGTCAGACGAAGGTGAGGGCCTCAGGTGGTGGTCCGATGAAGGTGAGGGCCTCAGGTGGTGGTCCTGCGAAGCTCCGGCGGTGGTCCGACGAAATTCCGGCGGTGGTTGAGGAGGAGCTTCTTCCTTCTCTTACTTATCTTATCTTCTTCTCTTTCTTGCTTTTTGTCTCCTTTCAAGAGAAATGAGGGGTCTATTTATAGATTTTTGGAGTGGCATGACATGTAAATAGGTGAGAGATCAAGGGTAAATTAGGAGTGGTTGGATGGACTGCCGATATTGAATCCCTTGATCATAGACCGTTTGTCAGACATTTGGAGGCTTTACTGATTTCGGAATTCAGTGATCTTGGGCTCGTTGGATTCGACTCGTTGAGCCGCTCGATTCGACTATAGGCTCGTCATATTTGAAAACCGTTTGATAACTCAAACAGTGGTACGAAGCTTCAAACAGCGCTTCGGGTCCTTGATTTGGAATCATTTGGACTCGAATTGAGTCAAATTTGGTGTCGTTGGGTTTGTATTATTGAGACGCTTAGTTTGACTATAAGTTTACTGAAATTGGAGTTCGGATGATCCCGGATTGAATTTTTGAAGGTTTCTGCTTGATTTTGCCTCGAGATTTGTGCCCGATAAAGATAATTTTTTTGATAATATATATTATATATATATTCAGCAAATCAAATAACCCATGAGTAGTAATTAAGAATATTTAATTATTTCAATCAATCGTGAAATTTTCTTGACGCCGCCGATATGATTCAGGAACTCCGGCTATCATCACAAACAAAATGTCAATCCCAACTTTTCTTACGTGAAAAACACGTGTGCTAAAAAAAAAATAGAGATTTTCGTGAAAAAGTTTGGTTTTGATGCCCCAATAAAATTATGTCTGTATTCAAACTTTTTAATTTCCTTTAAAATGATCTGGTTAATAATTTATTATATTTATTTAAACAAAATTTAATATCCCTAAAACTCATCTTAATTAAATTTTCATCAAAATATTTAAATTCAAAATTTCTCAAAATTTAGGTCAACATAGTTTGACTAAAAACAATTGATCATTATGCATTTAATAGCCATTAAATTTATTTTAAAATGAATCTGATAATTACGATTTTATTAAAATTCATTTTATATTTATTTTAATATAAATCAAATATTTATAATCTTAATTAAATTTAAATTAAAATAATCTGACCTAGAAATAGGGGTGTTAAATTTTGACACGACACAAATCCGACCTGGAAAAATCTGGGTTCGGGACGACCTCAATAGCAAACGGGTCGGTTCGAGTTCAAAAATCTGACTCAATTTGAGTTTTGGGTCGGATTCGGGTTGACCCAAAAACCTGAACTAGACACGGAATTGACCTGGAAACTGCTATGCCCTTATTTAGTACCTACCCGGCCCGCAAAATGATGCGACACTATGAGCCTGCGACGCATCAAGTCGCTTAGAGCCTCAGTCCGTCACTCTGTCAGGCGTTAGTCACGTTAGTTCGCCTCCTTCGAGGCAGTCGTCACTGCTGCCTGGCGTGCTCGCTCGCCGCTACTGTGCTATCTTCCTCCTTCAGCGACGGGAGCTCCTTATCTTACTCTGACGATGTTCTTTCCTATCAAATTGGAAGTCGGGATAGTCGGACAGCTCGCCGCCTTGCCGAAAGGAGCTCGACGACATTCCTTCAAGTCGAATAAAAAATATGTTTAGGGTCGGATTGACCCAAACCCGAAAACGGGTCGGGTTCGAGTTGACCCGAATAGTGTAAGTCAATTCTAGGTTTGACTTGAACCCGACCCGTGACCCGAAAATAACACCCCTACCTAAAAATTACCATTTGTTACACTGTAAAAAGATAATAATAAAAAAAAACCATTTTTTACACTGCACTATGCCAAATATAATAACAGTTTAAGTATAAAGGAGAATAAATTATTATTATAATTAAACAAAATTTCTATTGATTGACAAATTTGTAGAATATATAATTACTTCACATATTTAATCTAAAATTAAATATAAATACAAATTTATACAATAATTTTTTAATCAAATAACCTTCTAATTATGCCATGATGGCTGTGACGAGGATGGACAAAGTTGCTCCCATACGTTTTGCAGTGGCTATGATAGTAATTATCCTGAAGAGGCTATCAAATTGAACTGAGAAATTAAAAATCACAATAAGTTCACCACACGCAATAAACTAAACAGAAAAAAAATTAAGGATGTGCGACTTTCCATAATTCCAGAAATATAATTTTAAGAAATGAGGACAAATACCAATCCTCCAATTTTGGTTTCTCTCAAAATAGGATTGGCCAATTTCAAAATTCAATTTTGATATTGTTTTTAACCAAATTTTTAATTATATATATATTGCAATAAAGAGAAATAGGAGATTCTAAATTTTTCTGTTTCAACAATAATAACAAGCATATTTTTTTATCTTATTATTATGTGAGATCCGCTAAATGAGTTTATTCTTCATTGTCTTCTATTAAGAGTTAAATTTTCATCTAAATCTAATTAAAAAAAGACCATTTTATTATTTTTAGGAATTTTTTAGATACTTTTAAGCTTCATTTGCGACAACTTCCTTATTGCTTTTTAAAATAACTTTATAATACAAAATTTTTTTAATTTAGAATAATAAAACAGCTGTCTTAAACGGAGTCTTAATTGTCTTTTTAAATCTACCTCAATCTTTTGGAGTGTAATACATCTATCCTTCTAATAGGGTCTTGTTTCATTACACAAGCTTACCAACACAAAGAAGCACCATTGCGCCCAGTGTAATACATAACTCTCCAGCATTAGTACCAGGAAAACAAAAGAACTTCTCAAGAGATGCGAAGAAATCCAATCCAACAGATGATGCTGGTGGAACTTTCAAAGCACTTAATTTAGCAGCAAACAATCTTCATCAAATCAATCACTCACAGAAAATAAAAAAAAACAAATCTAATCCAATATAATGTTACTCAATTCCAGACATCTAGTTTCAGTTCCCTCCATTAGCTCTCTAAGTCCAACTTTTAACTCTTGAACACCTTCGCCTAACACAGCACAGACAGGTAATATGAGAACATCCTGGACCCTCATCTTCAGTTCTTCATAGACATCCTCTGCACCTTTCTCATCAATCTTGTTTGCAACTATCAGTGATGGCCGTTTGGATAAACCCACCTTATGATGTTCAAGCTCCAAAACCAAGTCTCTCAGTTGTTCCCATGGCATTATACCCTTCTTTCCGTCCAAAGCCGCAGCTAAATCCACAACATAAGCCAGAACCTTGGTGCGCTCAATGTGCCTCAAGAAAGCATGACCAAGTCCTCTATTTTCATGAGCTCCTCTTATAAGTCCAGGAATATCAGCTACTGATACTGAGAAGAAGTCATCGTAGTTCAAATTCCCTATGTTTGGCCTTAGAGTAGTAAAAGCATAATGGCCAACTGCAGGATTGGCTCGCGAAATTGCGCCTAGTAGAGTGCTTTTACCAGCATTTGGTATTCCGACAAGTCCAACATCAGCGATGCTCTTGAGCTCCAGTATGAGGATTGAATCTGAGCCTGATGAGCCAGCAATTAGTGAAAATAACTCATCGTTATCTAAGGTTTGTGCATTAGATGAACCATTTAAGTTCATGAGGCTTCGGTATTTGATGTCTTTATTAACAGCAGCATTACCGAGACCACCGGCCCCTCCCCGAGCAACTAATATTCGCTGCCCTGGTTCGGTTAATTCTGCAACTGAATATTGCACAGATTCCTCTAACTCAAAATGCCAGTCCTTAGCTTCCTCAGTTTTGTTGTCAGCTTTCCACCACTCATCATCATCATCATCATCGTCATCTTTCCACCATTCATCATTCTCCAGTTCTTCGCATTGCACATCTTCAACCTTATTCAACATATGTGATGGTTTTACCTTATTGTTTCTTCGCTCATTTAGTTCTGCAAGTGATGGAGTATCCTCAACAGCGATGGGTATTTCCCAAGGATCCATAGAAGTGATTGAATTATTGCTCACTAATGTAGGAAGTGCACCACTGACTAAATGAATCACAGTTCCAACTGGAACCTGCGCAACCTGCTCAAAACAAGCTTCTCTACAAGAATGTAGATGATTGTTTGAAAACAAACAAAAAAGTAGCTATAGATTCTCAAATAGGTAGGTACTTTAATGACAAAGTTCTAACCTTGTCTGATCCACGGGTTCCAATCATGTTTTTTGAAATCCCATTACCCCCTTTCTTTGCATTCTACAAAAATTCAGTTCTTACCGAATGTTTAATCTTGCTAGAAACAATAGGAACAAAGAGGATGCTTGGCAAAGTTAAAACTATAGAGATGAACCAACAACAACAAAAACAACAACATCAAGCCTTTATCCCACTACATGGGGTCAGCTACATAAAGCCTTTTTCTCCATTGTGTCTAGTTAAGAGTCAAATTCTCATTTAGATTTAATAAAGAAATGTCATTTCTAATATTTTTCTAACCAAGTCTTTTTAGGTCTACCTCCACCTTTCTTAACATAGGTAAAATCCAATACATTTACTCTCCTAAATGGGTCATCGGAAAGCCGCTGTTTTATGTGACCAAACAATCTAAATTGTCTCTCTCTAATCTCATCTATCACTGGAGCTACAAATATAGAGATGAAAACAGAAGAAATAATTGCATGAACATATAACTCCTATCTTGTAGTTTTTTTTTTTTTAATGGCGAGCACCGAAGTGAAAAATTTAAAGTTAGTGTACGTTAATGTGCTTGAATTTGGACAGATAGTGGAAACAAAATAACTCTCAAACACTCAGTCATGGCTCTAATCGCACAGTTTGTTTTAGGAAAGTTGTCTGCCAAAGCAAAGATTTTCTTTAGGCAGGATTAATTGATCCCAGGACTACGACAATACATTTCATGGTTATCATCAACTAAATTAGTTTGCAGAAGAAAAAAAAAAAAGACTTCTGTTATATGGAAGACTTCACCCACCACGTGATGTTGCAGATTACTGAAGTCCCACAATGCTGCTGAGCATTCCAAATAAACATCACCACCTCTTCCACCATTGCCACCTAATCGATACGTAAGCATTCATCAAAGTTGAAAAACCAATCAATCTAATCAAAATGACAAAGTAAGCCAACTAATCTAATCATAGACTAAGAATGAAACCGCTCAACCAAAAATAACATATAAAATATGCACAGAGCAAAATCATGAAAAGATTCAACAATTACCATCTGGCGCGCCATGGCGGTCTGTTCGGCTCCGCCGATAGCTCCAGCACCCATTTCCTCCGTCACCTCCTTTGGCCCATAACCTAAAACGATCCACCATCCTCCTCTCCTACAAAAAACGGAAACCTCAATCGGAATAAACAATACGCACAAGATCTCCACATCGGCTAATCTTCCTTTACTGTTACCACTACTCGACCATAGATGAAAAGAAAGAAACAGAAACGAAAAATAACGGCAAAACCAATGAAAGGAGGGATTTTTCTAGCACAATTGATTCTTCAGAAGAATACCTGTAAAGGAGTTGCTTTTCCTTTTTTCTTTGCAGGCGAATCTGAGAAAGAAAGCACGGTAAATAACCGAGTGGGCTCGCATGTTGACCTAAGCAATCCCTGCGCATGAGTAAGAACGCCGCGACGCCACCACATCGCTCACTAAATTCTTAGACCTTGAATGGAGAGATTAATACCATCAAATTTGGAAGGAAAGGCCAAATTAAGCTCATTCTCCATTAAAACGTCCCCATACTATCACAGTTTAAGCAGCTCGAATTTCTTACCAATTTCTTGGTTATGTATAGATTCCTTGCCAAGAGAAACAGAGAAGAAGAAACACTGACGCCAACAATCCACGGCGAATGGAGGAATGGGATAGAGATGATGCAGCCGCCGTTGTCATCGGAGGAGATCGATTGTTGGAATCAACGAGTAGGGTTTCCGCCTAAAGAATCACTTGTTCAAAATGGGGCAAAGACACAGCTAACCTTGGCGTGTTGGTTGAGAGCTTATGCTTTCAATCAAGAGATTTTGGATTCGAATCTTTATATGCTTTGTGTATGAATTTGTCTTAAATGACCTAAATGTAAAAAAAAAAAGGCAAAGTTTATTATTATTATTATTTTATTGAGAGTTTAACCTAGATAGCACTATTTCTTTGTATGTGTAACTAAGGGCTGTCAAAAGTGGCTTTCGTGTGGGGTTCAGATCAAATTTGAAACTGATCTGACATTAACCCCACTCGAACCAGACCAATTTTTTCAAATGGGTCGATTTTTTGGACTAGAATCTGACCCACATCTTTTATGTTTTACTAAAACATTTTTATTTAATTCGATTTATTTAATCCTAAATCGAATTAAGATAAGATTTACATCAAATAATTTAAAATAAATCAAGCTTAATTTAATTTAGGCAACATGATTTTTTCTTTTTTGAAAATAGCATTTACTTATTTCATAATAATCTTCTAAAACCCTCCTAAATCAATTAAAAACGGGTTAAACTAGGTTGATTTCGAGTTTCCGGGTCAATGCGAACCTGACCTGGTTTTACAAATGCATTGAAATTACTAACCCAAATTCAAAATTTTTAGGTCGAGTTCGAGACAGATTTTCGGGTTGTGTCAAATATCAACACCCGTATGCTTAACTTATAAATTTTACTATTTACTCATATAGTATTTAAAATTGAAAAAAAATTATAAAAATTTCACTTGTTCCATTAAAATTTCACACAAAGTCCTAAAATCTCATCACCACATTTTACAAGCTATTGGTCACATCGCCATTTATGCATATCGTTGGTTAATCTTTCCAAAGAAATCTCAATGCTCCACTCATGGGCAACCATGGAAGCTCTCTCTTAATTTATGCACTTCATAAAATAAGACAAAAATAAAATAACGGTTTAGTCCTATTGAAAGTCTAATTTTATGAAGTCATTAGCCGAGCTCTTAAGAAGTCACTAGCTTGGCTTATATAGATATTGGTAATCAAGTAACCAATTAACTGCTTGCCTTAAATGTCGTCCTTTATTAAGTAGGTGCTAGGGATGAGTTCATAAATAATAGTAATTAGGGTCGATTGATAGGTCGTACTCTCTCGATTATGTTGATTTTTTTATCATAGTCTCATATTTGAAGTGAATTCTCTTGTAGATTTGCTGAGTCTCTTATGACTTGAGACCAAATAGACTAAGGCTGTGTTTGGGACGGCTTTCTTTCTGCTTCTCAAAGCAGCTTTTTAGTACACTTTATTTTATTTTGTACTAGAAAGTTGCTTTGAAAAGAAGAAAAAAAGTCATCTCAAACGAAACATAAGTTAGCTTGGCTTAAACTTGCTTGAATTAACATGAACTAGGTTAACTTAAATTAGATTTTTTTGGGTAGTTGGATGTACATTTCATTCATTGATTCTCTTATATATTTAGAGGTTCCTTACAACAATAAATTCTTCATTTAATTATCATAAATCTTTCATAAATATTTATTTTAGTATTAGATATTAGTCCATAAATTTAATGTTAACTTCTGATTTGTCCTTTTGTTTGTGTTAGCCAATACTCATCCTATATAAATATAGGATTGATGCTTTTCTTTAACAAGCTTTTTCTTCCATTCCTTACACCTCTTTGTTGTAAACCTGATTCAAGTACTATGATTTTGATGATAATAAACATTATTGTGATTGATACTTCTTTCTCTTATTTCTGTGATAATTTGTTTTGTTTTTTTGTATACTAATATTTTAGGAAATCAGTTAACTGTTCACTTGCAATTCCGATCAGCTCAAGACCGGGTAGACTAGGGTTACATTCGAATTTTATTTTATTATGTATCTTCTCCTTTCTTGAGTCGTATCATGTAACTGGATGGATATCATTACTTGGTAACATTGCACACACACACATGGGGAGAGATAAAAATATTTTTAAGAGAATTATTTTTTAAAGTAACTCATACTATATGATCTTAATTTCATACTGTAGGATTTTAATTCATACTGTACGACTTATTGTGCTATATCAAAACCCTAGCCACCAAAGGTTAAGGAAGATACTAATTATGTACTGATCATATAGTATGATTTGGCTCGTACTATATGTCCTAATTAAAATCTTTTTTAATTAATCCTCAATATTAGGTAATTAAATCATGGACAATTATTGTGATTGATCGTATTGCATGATAGAGTTCGAACTGTATGATTACCCATGTACAAATTTGGTCGTCCCAAAGATCGTACCGTATGATGTCCACAGTGCTGGACGATCACTTGCGTACGAAGTTGGCCGTTCCAAGGATCATCCCAAACGAACAAAAGGAATTTTTATATTTCGTACCATATGCTATTTTGATCTTACTATACGAAATGTTATAATTGTTTAATAGTTCATCTAAACGATCTTGTTGGACGAGTTTGACTTACACTGATTGTATTGTACGATACGTGTATCGTACTATATGAATATAAGATGGATCTCTTGAAATTTAGGATTTTTTGAAGATCACTATTTAAGGATTTCTAATACTCCTATCAGAAAATATTTTGATGTTGGGTTGACCTAAGAGGGAGCTTAGTGAAGGAAGAGAGGAGAGCTTTGAGAGAGAGAGAGAGATCATTGTGAGGGGGAGGTATGAGGGATTCACAAAGGTTGCTCCATGTAAGGTTTTCACCATCTTTGTCAAGCTTCTTCCTTAGTTCCTTGGTGGCTCTGTGCAGACTTTCATCAGTATTAGGTCTAATATTCTTTGCCTACTCTAGGAGAGAGTAAAAGGATTCTAAGGTTCTCTATCTACTCTATAAGGGAGTAAAATAATTTTTAGGTTATCTGCCTACTCTAGGAGGAAGTAAAAGGATTTTCAGATTCTCTGCCTACTAAATGAGGGAGTAAAAGGATTCAAGATATTCTGCCTCACCGGATCGGTGGAAAGATTTTGTTAGGGCTTCTCCACCTTGCCGTGGAGACAAAATGAGAGGCAATACTTTTAATGCAAAACTTAGAAAAGGAGGTTTCCATGGAGTTAATGTAGGTCAAGTTAACCGAACCACTATAATTCTAGTTTGTTCTTTCAATTTACTTTTTTTTTTCATTTAATTTCTACATTATTCTGTGATTTGTTCTATGGTTAAAATCTCTAATTTTTTTTATTGTGAAACTAGTGTTGCTTTCGCATAAATTCTTTATTTTAAAATATTTAAAAAGATTTAAAAAAATTTCTTTTTACCTTAAGAAAATTTTTAAATAACCAATTAACCCCTCTTGGTTAACCTCGAGCTAGTTCATAAAGGTCTAACAACCTTCACGAACTTCCAAGTGGCATTATAGTGGAATTAATAAATTAAGTATTAGAAAACTTTTGAAAAAATATATATGACTAAGTTAGGTAATCATAATACTGTGAAAGGATATTAAATCATCAACCCACCTCTATTTGATAATATTCCTTTCAATTTTTGGAAAACTCGCATGCTCACCTTTTTACACTCAATTGATTATCATATGTGGATACTAGTTTAGGATGATCACTCTACACCTTCTTGTTTAGTAAATGGTGTTAAAACTGAAATACTTTTTTCTGAATGGACTACATATGATAAAGATTTAGCCTAATTGAATGCCAAATATTTGAATTATTTTTTTATACTTTAAAATTTGATGATTTCATGCATGTTTCCACATGCACTACTGGTATGAAGATTTGGGATAAACTCTACATAACATATGAAAGAACAAACGAAGTGAAATAATCAGGTTAAATATTCTTCTTCATTATTATAAACTTTTTTGCATAAATTCTAGTGAATTTATTTCTAAAATATATACTAGGTTTACTCAGATTATTACTTCACTGCATGCCTTAGAAAGAGAGCTTATAAATTATGAAAAAGTTAACAAAATTCTTCATTGTTTACCTTCTTCCTATAATGCAAAAATCACTATCATGACTGAATTTAAAGATCTGAATATTAATTTTATTGATAACTTACTTAGGTTACTCATTGCCTACAATTAAGAAGTTAGTCAAAGGCAACTTGATGTAGGTGAAAAGATAAAAGAGAAAATTGTAGCCTTAAAGGCTAATAATTCTAATAGTGACTCTTTTGAATAAGATGATAATGAAATTGCATTGATGACTAGGAAATTTAAGAGATTCTTAAAAAAACAAAAATTTCATCAGTAATAAAATAAAGATAAGAATGGTAAAACTTCTAAAATTTCTTCTGATATTATGTGCTTTGAATGCAAAAAAGCCAGGGCACCTGAAGTCTGATTGCCCAACTCTTAAAACTTACCCAAGCAAGGAGAAGGGTAATGAAATAACTAAATTTAAGAAAGGTAAGTAGATGACTCAAAAAGCTTTCTAGGCAGAATCTGCATCAAACTCTTTTGAAACTGAAGCAAAAGAGGAGGTAACCAACCTATACTTAATAATGGATGATCATCTTGATCACTCTAATTAATAGGAGGTATGTGAGCTTACCTATGATCAATTATTTGAAGTTTCTAAAAAAAATCATACTACATATATGAAGCTTAAACAATCACATGCTAGCCTTAAATCTTTTCAATTATGTAGAAAGAGCATGAATGCCTAAGTAAAGATCATTCTACTCTAGATTATCACATGACTTTGTTAGATGAATTTGATATTTTAAACAAAAAAGCATTTTGAATTAACTAATGAGTATGATTCCTTAAAAATATTACATATTGAATTTATATATATATATATAAGAGATTAGAAACTCTTGCATCTAAATTAGATAATAGGGAGCATGCATTAAAAATTAAAAATTCAATTCTTGAAAGTGCAATCCAATTTTTACAAATCAAATTAAATGCTTTCAAGGAAAATAAAACACCACCTTCACTTGAATAGTTTAAAAAACAATCATAAAAGAAAGCATCGTTTAAACTTATAAAGAGGCACCATAACCCAAATAGATTAGTAAATCCTTTTTCTAGTGTTAG